GCTTTTTTTTTTTTTTATACATATGCCTATATGTTTTTTTTAATATCGTTTGTACTAACTCGCATATATATACACGTTTACGTATAGTTCTTGCCAGAGTTGTTTTTAAACCATCAGCAGTGTGTTTAAAAATGTATTCTAGATCATAAGCCGATAATTTAGCTTAGTTCATTCACCCCATCCGAGAATTTTTCACTCACAAAGAGCCGCCACCATATACTCGTAAAGAGGTTCAAATTTAGATATATGCCTGACAATCAGAGCTATTGAGCAGGGCAGCGAGGGTTCTTTATAATGTCAATGCCAACAGTGACACGGAACCTCGTTTTTTAGTTCTAATACCCGTGACCTTCTCTTCCAATGCCTGGCGCTTGGTGAAGGAAGGGGTACTACCTATCTTTACCTTTAAGGTTTGACGCTGCTTTGGGAACGAGAATCAAACCCAGGCCTCCTTACCATGAAGCAAACGCCCAATCACTAGGCTACCGTGGCCGGTTTAATTTGATTGAAGCATTGATTAAAATTGCTTTCATTAGATTTAAATATATATGTTACATAAATAGGAAAAAAATGAAGATATAGAAAAGTTAAAATCATCACGTTTGTTTTTAAGTTTTGTTTTCAGTTTGTCATCATTGATATTTTTCTATTTAAACATCAAAATATGAAACAAATGCTTAAGTATCTGTGGATTCGTTCATTTTGGATTTAATTTGATATATCGAATCAACTTAGGAATGAAACTAGATATTGTGGATTATCAAAAGGTCATCGATACATGTATGAATCTATTATCTGACGTCAAAAAGAAGGCCATAGAGAGACTCCTTTTCATTTTTATTTTAAAGTTTGAGAATGAATACGAAAGCAGGTCTGCTTATAACGGATCACACTTAGTATCCATTTAAATTCCAACGAATTGTGACAGGACGTGGTCTCCGTAAATTGTGTAGAGTCGGTATGTTTTTTTTTTAACAAAATAATTTTGCAGTTGACCAATGACAATCTAAGTAAATTTAGGAGTTTCTTTTTTATTGAAGAAGCAGTTGTTTATGATGTCAAAAAATCTTATCATGAATTCATTGTTCAGAATGGGGATATAAAATAAAATTCGACGGTTTGATGCTATTGATTTTATTAAAAAGTTTGGATTACAAATTTGCTTAAATTTCCTGAGAACACAAAGATATTTAAAAACTCACATCTGATCAACACCACTTCTTGAATAAGTTGTAAAGTTCTCCTGAAGTTTCTTTTTCTCCGATGCATGTAGCTGTAAAGATGTTTCTTTCGAAAGAGGCTCTCGATCGTTTTCAATTAAAAAAATAGATTTAAAAAGAGAAATTATTTATGCATACCTTAGTAAACGATGTTAGATGTGCATTAAAGTATACACAATACATTGCTTACTCCCAAACCTGATAATATCCTGTCAACGATAAAGTTTCTAAAGATCTGAGTCCTATTTAGCTAACAATAAATTTGCGGATTCGTTTGTTACACAAAAACTTCAATTTTACATGACTTATGTTTTGTGAAATCCTTAAAGTAACATGTTCCTAAGAAGATCAAAGATGTTATTCAAATCGAATAAAAAATAAGGTTTCAGAAATAAGAAAAAAAGCAAGTTGCTACAATTTGTTCAGACACTTTTGTTCTGTTGTTACAATAGAATAATGATATTCCAAATAAATGAACCTCTTCTTATTCTCTGAACAGTGCAATTATAAATTGATGTATTTGTAGTGTTCAAAACTCAACCAAAATTACCCTCTTATGTGATATGATTTGAAGCTATTTTAATTTATTTCGCGTAAAAAAAATCTAAAAGTTCATCGACCCATAGATAAGAGCTACAACTCTCATTGCGTAAATATCTGTTTATATTTGGATATTTTACTGATCGACTATGAACTATAGAGGCCAACTAACCTCTTGATTGTATGAAAAACCATACGTCTTCAGGTTTTCCATCATTAGTTTTTCCTTATTTTTGTAGTAATATTCCGCTATATTTACATCCACTGAATTTTTTTCTTTTATTTCTCAAGAAAAATAATGCGTTTTATCTAGTCAGTAAACGGCAATAGACATTTCACCTGTGAGCAGTGGCTGTTCCATCAATGAAGAGTACAATTGCGTACATATGAAAAATACACTATTTCCTCTCCTAAATCCCTCTTTAAATGATTATTTGTACAGATATAAATATAAACCATAAAATACTTTGATTGTTAGTACGGACATTAATATTGCAGCTATTGCAGAAAAAATTACATAAATTCGCTTTTCTGTAACAGCTGCAACATTAATTTTTTCCCTAATAATATTTTTCGACTTGGCAGATTGTTCCATCAGCTCAGGATCAGTACACTGGATTTTTAATTGAATTCATTTCGATTTTTAATTGTACTTTTATGATAAACATTATTTATTGCTGTCTTTTTTTAACTTTAAAAGGTAATATAATATTTGCTTGAATAATAGATGACCACACTTTTACTTTTATTCATGCCTTGGAACACTCTAGTTCTTATGCTTTGATTGTCTATTGAATATTCCTTTAATCTGATCATATAACTAAGTCTCACGGCGGACGTGACCAATTGACAGTCTATACATGTTTACCGCCCCTAGCACCTAGCCCCAAGACAATTTCACTGGCAAGTCATTTTTTTTTCTTTTAAATACCTTGAGTTTTCTTAAACATATATGCATTAGAGTTTGAAAATATGTGTAATCACCAGGTCATTCAAAGTTTGAAAATTTCGTTTTCATTCTGAAAATTATTTATAAATTAACATTGATTTTAAATTTTGGGTTAAGTCTACTATCATTTTATGATCTTGGGCCCTGATCCAAACCCCTGGAATTTCCGGGGGGAAGGGGGGGGGGTCAATCCGTGTTTTTAGCCCTGTTCATAAATTCCATGTTTTGTAGTGATTTTTTCGAATACTTTTCTTTATTTTCACTTTTTTCGATAACTTAATAAGGTTATAACTTTTTAAAGTTAAAAGGCAATTTTTGTATGCTGAAATTGCATTGCATTTTGATAAGCAATTCATTGTGTAAAATTGATAATGTGGCCTAGCTCTCTTTGTCAACGAAAAGAAATAATTATTTCATATACTGACAGACAAATAGCGTAATCTCAAATTTTCGAGATTTCTTACATCTAAATCAGTACGTAATGACAACTCAGCAATTCTACATTGATTTGTCAATTGTCGTCTCGTAATTATGACTATAAAGCTTTTTCCATTGACGAAATTCATTCATACATTACAGACTTTTCCTGTTTTGACTCTACTGCAACAAAAAAATAGGGTGAGAGGAACCAGTCTTTCAGTGAACATTCTCAATAGTAAAAAGAAATGTTTGGAAAAAAAGGTGTAGCAAACCAACACCCAACCCCACCCCGATACTACATGCAAGACTTATGATGTAATAAAATTACCTTTGAACTGAATTCCTCATCCCAAAAGAAATGTATAGGAAATCTCATCCATTCTTAAAAGTGTCTTATCACTGGAAATCTATAAAGATTATATTCAACACAATGTATTCTACTGAATGATTGCATTTAATTTATTCTTATTACTTTGTAAAGATTGGATTTATTTCTCACGATCGTGTTCAATACATCCAGCATGCAAAATAATGTGTTCAATACATCCCACATGCTCCAGAAAACAAAGATGTTTTTTGGATTATCTGAAATGATTACTGATTTCCTTTTCATGATTATACTAGCTTAATACGTAAATCTGCTTCGTCTAAAAAATACAAAATATTTCATCATAGTTTAAAAAAGATATGGTCTATTTGTGCCTCACATAACATAAAAATACAACTATGGACTATTGTCCATTGGACTAAAAGTAATTCACCCCTCTTGAATCTAACATATAATTCCATTAAAAAAAACTTTATTCTTTAAAAAAAAAAGAAGAAAAAAAAAACCAGTCATCTTAAGTAATTTGTCCATAGGTTAACAATCATATACAAAAGAAAGATATTTATTTGTTTACTAGCAATAAACTCATTTTTCTTTATTTCTTGCCTTTGCCTTGTGCTAATTTAAGGTTAGGTAATACAAAAAAATTAAGTTTCTTGACTGATTTTGATAAGAAATGACATAAATAGTAAATTCCTAAAATATAAAGAAATGGTAAGGTTTCTTTGGAGCTTGAATATGCACTTTGTTTAGTTTTCTGTGGAGATTCTATACAATTTTTTTTCATATATTTTTAACATTGCAACGAAATCTTACAAAGTTCTCCCATTTTTACTGATAAACATTATTCAGGTTACTTATCTGAATATAAATCTATGAGAAATATTGCTGATTTTTGAAAAGTTTGTGTTTTTATCCTTAAAGCATATATGTTATCAAAAGACTTGTTTTGTATTACTGACCACAGATTTGTCAAATTCAATGATTGTAATTAATTATCATAATAATGATACTTTGAACAAAGCATCAAAAATAAATATACGTGTATGTTTTTTTTTTTTTTTTTAAATTAGCAATGTGAATACTTCTCTTCAAAAAGCAACTAATTAGATTCTGAATGTCCCATTCCAGTACAAATTTTGCAGACTGATTGTTTTACAGACAAAAGTAACTGTAAAACATTTCTAAAAGTTCTTTTTCCAATGCCTTTAGGAAAACAGAGGTTATCGGAATATAACACCTGTGTACTAATTTAAAGTTTTAAAAGATTTTAAATGCCTCCTGTAAATATGGCACACAGACCAAATATATAGATGCAAGACTCACCGAAAGACAAAAATATATGCAATTAAAACACACGTTTAAAGGTACGAGTTAGAAGATAACAATAATACTCCGTCAAACTTCTATTGTCGTACAAATGAAAAATAGATCTTCCTGGTCGTAAATAGTAGGATCTCAATCAAAACCCAAAGTTCAACAGTGTCTTTTCTGAATAGTTTCATGTTAAGAAATAAAACCAATTTAGAATAACAAGAAGGGCATGGCTGGGAGCTCTGTAACCGATGAAACAACGCAAGCATTAAGTCAGGTAAAATATCAAACATTTCAAATCTCCCCTTATAAGTCAGTTAAGTGATGAATATAAAGAACAAGGAGGTTTTGATTGGCATTCGGCAGGAACCTGGGCGCCTTTGAAAAGTACTAATGATATTTTTATTGATCCGTCGCATAGAATTTTAACATTCTTTTGATAAATATCAGTATCGGATTCCTATGTAATTTAATAGCTACCCAAATTATAATCTAAAACCTGGGTTGAGACAGCTTACGCTTTATAAACCGTGAAGCGGTTTATAAAAAAGTGTAAACTGTCTAACCTAGGTTATACCAGTAAAACTTGGGTAGCTAATCAAATTCACTCCTTATAATTAAATTTTCCATCATTAAATTTAGAAAATTAGACAATTTCTCCTTCAGAAATGTATTCGAACTGTGTATATCTCAAATGTAACGTCAAGAGGATTAATAGGTTTTTGAAGCAAGTCCTTGTGACGTATGTAACACAAGTTATATGATATAAATTAATTTTTCATCCAATCAAATGACGAGTCACAAACGAAGTTAAATTATTAGGAATGGGTAATATTTCCACCATGATATCCATATTGTGTTTTAATTACTTTAAATATGCCTAAATGTCATTTGAAACCCAATGATATATTTGCAAAGAAATGAACAAACATTTTGTTAAAAAAGAAATGGTGAAAAGTCTTAGAGACCATAAAAATTAAGTTGGAAAAATACCCCCATCCCGTTTTGTATAAATGTGTTGCTTCGCTGTCGTCTTAAAAAGAAGGGTCACGAAGAATAGCTTAGAAGTTTAAGTTACCAGTCCGAAAAAAGAAAGCAAAAGTATGTAAACAGTCCAGAACACAGGAATCGCAAGGTTTTTGGTTCGGTCCCCGCATGAAGCGTTTATTATTATTTTTTTACATACAAAAAAGTCAAGTCGTTTTGCAGTTTTTATTTACTGATATATTAAATTTTTATGATAGATAAATATTGGTTTAGTTACAACGAATGCGAAAGCATTTCTTCTAAACTACTGAAACTTCAATGTAATTGCATTTCAACTATACGCTATTATCTCAGGCTTGTAGTATCGGGGGAAGGGGGCCAGGGAGGCTTCCCCAACCCACTTTTTTCCAAAACAAACATTACAATATTGAAAATAGTCTATGAAAGGATGGTTCCCTCACTTTTTGCCGTAGCATAATTAAATCATCGTGATTCTGTAATGTCATAAAACCTAGTTGTAAAAGAAAGTTGAAACCTTCACCCCCTCGCTTTCACCAACCTTATGAAATAAAATATTTGACCTTAGGGACAATTTTTTTATAGATGAAATTCAAAAATCAAATATCGATAGCGTGCATAATTGTTTAATGATATCTTGGCAGAGTTTCATTGTTTGTTATGTTAGTATTTTTGGTAACATATATTTCATATGTAATTTTATTTTACCTCTTTTGAGGAAAACAGTTCAAGTTCTGGATTAGATATAGAGCTCAAAACTAATAAAGTTATAACGTTTGTAGCTTGATACATCGAAATCTCTTTGACATTGCATTCTTTACTGATTCTTTAGTACAAGTATGCGGATATTGCCAAAAGGGATATCATGAACGCTATAAGTCAATTTAAAGACCTAAGGCCTGAACTAGAGAGATTTTGTAAGTAACACGGAGCGAGAGGGGGGGGGGGGCAGAGAGAGACAGAGACAAAGAGGGGGAAGAACGAAAGAGACAGAGAGTCAGACTGAGAGAGAAAGAGAGAACAGAGAAAGAAAGAGACCGACAGGCAGAATGAGAGAAAAAGAAAGAAACAGAGAGAGAGAGAGAGAGAGAGAGACAGACAGACAGAAAAAGAAAAATTGAAAAAACTGATCACATATCAAGGTAATATTTTCGTAATGTTTTCTCCTATATGATGCTTGTTTTGTTTTAATGAGTATTATATATGTAATTTTACGTCTTTTTTCCTCATGCAGATTTTGGAGACGGTACAAAGAAAAATCTTTTGAATTTAAACGGCACTATTCCAGTAAATTACGAGGGTATCGATCATAGACATTTTTTTATGAATTTGAAAAGAATAATAATTTTTTCTGTTAAATTTGTAGTATTATCGTTCTATCTCATTCATGCATTTTTGAAATATTTATATAAAATTTCAATTATTTTAAATCGTTGACATCAATTTGTTGCATGTTCTGTGAGTTTAAGCATTTCAATTGACTTTTTTAAGGAAATGAATACAACATTCCAATCATAGTTTGGATACTGGACACACATCCCTATAACTCGCCAATGGTTTATGTAAAACCATACAATAACATGTACATAAAAGCCAATAGAAATGTGGACTCAAACGGGAATGTTAACATACCCTATCTGAGGGACTGGAGATACGTAAGGAATAAGTATTATTTAGAAAACGAGACGGGTTCTCTATCTTAGATGCATGTACAAATTTGGGCGGTGGACGAGTGCATACATGTAGCACGAGTCTCCGCCCTAAATTTGTATCTGCGTTCGAGAACCTGTCGAGTTCTCCAAATGATTTATGACTTGATCAATCAAAATAATCACCTCCCACTTTTAGCTGTGCAGCATCCTCATTATATATATTTCCACGGACAACGTAAGATTTAGTAGGACTAGTTTTGACAACAGGGTAGACGTAATTGACTTGATTTCTTACTGGATAAGGTGGACGATTTAACCTTTTAGTAGATTTATGATGTTATGGAGATTAATTCTGATATATTTGAGGGGTCTCATAATCTCCGTTTACCTGGATATAAAAACAGGCGATACAAACAGCTCTTTGAAGAAATTTGATGTCAAAGATTTTTATCATGTTGGCCAACTATTCTGTATCTACAATAGAGCACGGTCTAAAAAGAATTCTGATTCAATCTATTAAAAGCACATACAAATAGTAAATGCAGTTTTTTTTTTTTCAGTTACGTCTACCCCGTTATCAAAACAAATCTAACTGAATCGTACGTTGTCCGTGGAAATCTATATACTGTGGATGCTGCATAGCTATAAGTGGGAGGTGCTTATTTTGATTGACTGTGTCACAAATCATTTAGAGAACTCGACATGTTAGCTCTATCATTTATAGGGGTGGAGACTCGTTATAACCACTCGTCCACCCCAACCCCCAATTTATATCTACGATAGAATACCCGTCTCGTTCTTTAAATAATACTTACAATTATATGCAACCTTCTTCAAATATTCAAAATTCTATTTATTTCCTAAAAGGTCTGCATTTCACAAAGGTATTTCTTTTTGCTCTTCATTACAATCGGCGTTAAGCAATGTCCTCGTTTATTGACCAACCCTTTCAAAGATGATTGGTTGATGGGTGGAGTTAAGAAGCACAGAAACACGAAATACGTATATGCATAAGTGACGCAGTGGTTAGAGCGTCTTCTCTTGGGTCGCTGAGTAGGGAGCTGATCCGTACGTTGCGGGTTCGAATCCACTACCGGACGTGGAGACCGGTCCTTCGGATGAGACCGTATAAATCGAGGTCTAGTGTCGCATTATGTAGGTGTTGGCACGAAAAAGTTCCCTCAATGCTCAATTGCCAAGAGTACCGAATATAAGTATAAATTTGCAGCCCTCCACCGGGAAGTGGTGGCTTCTCCATAGATTTCTTGGTAATGGGCTATAAAATTGACGATGTGGAGAAGTGCAGTTACTAGCACTGCCTACAACAATTTGATTGCACGGTGGTTGTCAAGTCTCCTGCGTAATACCTACATGTAGTTACCCGTTGTCATGTACATGTTGTTTATTTTCAACTACTGTAAATCACTTTTATTTGCGAGAACTTTATTTTCGCGTATTTACGCCAGTCTGTCTGCTCACGAAATTTTATTCTCGATCGCGTATATTTGTATTAGTAAGGATTATATACAAAAACATTAGCTCGCAAAAATTTTGTCTTGCTTATAAATTCCAAATAAGTATCTTGCGAAAAGAAGGTGTAGCGAAAATAAAGTGATCTACAGTAATCAGCATCCAAGGAAACAGCTAATGAACGAAAATGATAGAAATTAAAGAGCGAAGGATAGCTCAGAAACTTATGTAATACGGAAAGAAACACCTTCATGAAATGCATACTAAGACACCTCAAGAAATTCACAAAACAAGAAATGTAAATGAATTTCCTTAGATTTTAACAATGATTTTGTTCTAGTTTTACTACGTTAATACAATATTACTGATACTACTTAATATAAAAAATCGTATGGATTGGTGTAAAATTGTATCGATCTTTCAGCCCCAGTCGGACCTTCTTGGTTTAATACAAATCTTGATCAAAGTGTTTGGGGAGGAACCACCGCTTTATTCCAGCTCTGTAGCATCACAACAGAGACATCAAGTCCAGAGTGAACATTTGTCGTCTGAAGAAAGGCCAAACATTTCCTCCTTTCCTGTTACAGGTTTGGTGCCGTTGACCACCCCTGGACTTGAAGGTGAAAGTCCTGTCAGGGACTAATAAGAACTTGGGTTGTGTCTTCGAGGGCGAAAACAATTTAAGGAAGGAGGGATGTAATGGTTTGGGCTGTGGATATCAGCCTGGGTAGCTCAGTCGGAAGAGAACCTGACTAGTGATGCAGGGGTCCCAGGTTTGATTCCCGGTCCAGCCAAACATTTTCTCCATTCCTGCTACATGTGTAATTAGAAAAAAAATATCTGCTGTCATTTTCCGTTTATCCAACATTTTCACTTGAAATCTGGAGATGACCCATTTAAATCAAATATATACATATATTCTTGACACATATTTACGTAAGAATTACAAACGCTTACTCTCGATTCCCGCCTACATTTTAGACCCATCTAATTCAATATAACTTGCATTTTGGCCATAAAAACTTATTTGAATGCAAAGATTTGGCAATTCATTTATTAACTCATAAGATGCGTCAAAAATTTAATTGATTTCTTTACAATTCTTTTTATAAGGTTGGTAAAATTTTATTTGTTGAAACCAGGCCTTAAAACATTACTAAATTTTTAAATGTGCATGGAAATAGATGAATGTTCCTTAAATCTTTCTGTATGTCAAAATTACGCAAAATTTAATGTATAAGATTGATGAAATACATTTCTAAGATTTGTAATATCATTTGAAATGGGTAAAAAAAATGTCCATTTTTGCTATGTTTTTTTTTTTTTTTTAATTTTTTTTTTTTTTTTTTTTGTCTGTAAACATATCTCCCCGATGAAACACAAAGACCTGTTAGACGGAATTTTTGCTTATTTTGCCAAAATTATAGAGTTATCGCTCTTTGCTTTTCCAAATAAGTTATCTTTCATGAAAATTCACAAAAATATCTATAAATTTGAAAAGTCATTCAAATATGTTAAATTTTGAAAAATGACTTGTAGGTAGGCGGCAGAACAAAACTATCGTTCGCAGTTCTTTACATAAAGTGCATCGTCTCGACAAATAATTACATTTTTGTAATTTTTTTCAGATAATGAAAAGCGTTTGATGCGCTTCCTAAAACTAGTAAGACTTTCACGAGATGCCCTTCAAATATTTTTCGATGACATCTTCCCTGGACATGAACTGCAGAACATGTTGACCGAAAAAAAATACCTCATTGTGAACGGAGAAAAAAGAGTACAAAAAGATCAGATACCTGTCCTTTATCCAGGTTAGGGAAAGTAGGCCACCACGCTCACCTGAGTCATTATATGGCCCTTTTTTCCTCATCATCATGTATTTTTTTCCCAATATATATACATGTATATTACTTTGTAAAACTTTGATCGCCTATTCAATGCCACAAAGGTCATAGATTGAACAAACTTAAATCTGCACTACCTAAGGATGCTTCCATATCAAAATGACATAATGATGTATAATGCTTCTGCTATTCTTGAGAAAATTTTTCTTATATATTTCTATGTTTAACTGAGATCACCCATTATGGGGGTTATGATTTGAACCAACTTGAATCTACACTATATGATGAAGTTGTCAAATAAGTTTAAAATCTTCTTGCCCAGTGGTTCTTGGGAAGTTTTTGCTTATAAATTCATATGTAAAACTTTGTTCGATCATTGTGGCCCCATCCTACCCCCAGGGGTCATGATTTAAACACGTTTACATCTAGTCAATTTAATAAAGTTTTTCCAAAAGTGTTATCTTTTCTAGCGCAGTGGTTTAAGAAAAAAAGATGTTTTAAACATATCATAATTTTTACTAATTCTTAATTATTTCCCCTTTGAAAGAGGGTGTCGCCCTTCATTTTAATCCCTTTTACCTGAGGGTGCTTTGTGGCAAATTTGATTGAATTAGTCCAGTGGTTCTGGAGGAAAAAAAATACAATATAAAAAGTTTATGTACAAGGACTTCAACAGACATTTTACTGTCCTTTTTAGCATAAAAAAAATCTCGAAACATGTATTTCTGTTATGCAAAATCTTTCATCAATATTTACATTTGAAAAAATTATTTTCATATATGTTTGTTTAAAATCATAATGAACATTTAGGATTTTATAAGTATTTTGCTTATCTTAAATTCTGTACATATATTGCCCATTTATTAGGTGACAAACATTTCTTTTTCACTTGGTGATTAATATTTGCTTGTTTGTTTATATGTTTGTAGCTTAATGTCCCTCTCGAGAATGTTTCACTTATATGGAGAGGCCAATATTTGCCAGTTGAGGGCTGCACAGTTATACTGGTATTCGGCGCTCAAGGCCATTGAGAAGTGAGGGATATTTTTTTTTTTCGAGCTAGCATCTACTGCAACACGAGACCTCGTATTGCCGTCTCATCCAAAGGACTTGTCCCCACGTCCCACAGTATGATTCGAACCCGTGACATTAGGATCAACTCCAATCTCCGCGACTCTAGATCATTTGCTCTAGATACCCCTACGCGACGTTAATTAATATTTTAATAATTAGAGCTTGTGTTGTCATTAAAAATTCCTTTGTTAATGAGAGATAATTGCCTCATTTTTTAGCTCATCTGAGCTGAATACTCCAGTGAGCCTTTGATCTTATTAAAATAATAGACCCAGGTCCTTTCCAAATGGAGATAATCAAGAAAAGACAAAAATATATTGAATGCATTAAAAATGTCTACTCCAGAACCACTGGGCCAGAAAAAAACGCTGAAACTTATATGGAGGCTTTCTGTGTTAGTGTAAATTCTAATAGTTCACATCATTGCCCCCAAAAGGATAGCGTGGGGCCACAATAGGGAATCAAAGTTTTAAATTGAAATATATAGGGAAAAAGTTTATAAATCTCCTTCCCAATAACCACTGGACCAGAAAAGCTGAAGTTTATATGGAAGCTCTATTCGGTAGTGTAAATTATATTTTTTTTTTCCAAATTATAACCCCTGGGGGAACATGTGTGGTGGGGTTGCAATAAATATTAAAAAGGTGGAAATCTGGTGAAGAACAGCAGGGCCAATGTTACTCAAGTGAGTGTTGTGGCCCATGGACCTCTGGTTTTTCTTTTCTAACATAAACCAAATTCATGAGGTTGAATATCCTCTTCCTTGCAGAAGGAGGAAATCCTGCTGATTCTTGTGAGTTCGAAATATCAACAATGTACACCTTGTTGAGAAATTATGCAAAAAATGTCGACCTTCCAAGCAACGGATGGGGTAAGGAACCTAACATTGGCCACAAACGAAAAGGGGATGATGTAGAGAGGATAAGATTTCATAGAAATTATATCAGTCAGATGATAGAGTTTGAACATGAGATCGATGATTTCAACTTAAAGTGGGAGGATCTCAAACAGGTATAAATATGCATGTAACGGTACATTAGTTATGGTTCAATATTTGGGTTTTAATGAATAATACACTATATAAAGCATGAAGCAGTACCTATGACATATATATAAATATATGTGTGTGTGTGCATGAACAATTTGTGTGCAATTATTCGAGCATCATTGTAAAATGAAGTATTTCCATTATTTTACTGTTTTAAGCAACTATTCTTACATAAGTAATAAAACTTGACAAAACCTAGTAATCACAGATTGAAAAAATTAATTTACAATTCTATATAACTGATTTTAAAACGATTTTTCACCTTATAGGTAGATTGACATCGTAATAGTGTTATGATAAATGGAAGCTCTTTAAGAGGGGTCATAATAAATTTAATAAAAGAAAAAGTATTAGATATAAGCTCTTGAAATTTAAAACATAAAAATTTGAGAATTTTACAATCATTTCTGTTTTTTTTTTTAAAATAAATCTTTGATATTTGTCATATTTTGTAGTACTCCATAAAACAGGAAATTTCATCAATTTTGACGTTTTGAGATACCCCTTTAGAAACAAGACGATAGAATTTTATGTTTGTTACATTTATTGTACAATATAGATATCTCATCAAATGTTTTAATTTGAGCAAAAAAGTTGATTATAGTATTTGTATAATTTGCTTTGAAGTGCTTAAAATTGGCACTTTACTATACTAGATGTACCTGTATTTTGAGAAGGACCCTAAAATACATAGACGGCAGATTTTCCCTAAAATTGGCATGTACCCTGAAGTCAAGTTACGTATGATAAAAAAGTTAAAAGATTCTCTATAGTTTTCACAGTAGTTTTCACACAATAAAACCCCAGTCGGCTCCCTTAAGGGATATTTGAGAAAAAAGAGTATTTTTTGTGTCTAATTTCCATTTGTTACTTTTATTCACATTTAGGTCAATAAATGCTCAATATGTTCTTTCAGGCTGTCATAAGACTGAGCAAAGGCACACTGAGGGGAGATGTAGCAGCACTTTCAACTTAAACTCGATTTCAGTGACCAGAAATTGGTACATCGAGAGCTGATTATGAGACAATTTGCATCTATGATTCATTATTTTTTCATTATTTAACATAAAATCCAGATTGACTGAGGGAATAAAAACAAGGTTCATTAGATACTGAAATGGTGAAGGGAAAATACACACGATCCTGCCTTTGCATATTAAATATTCACATTCAACACTGGTCTGAGGAGAGGTAGTGGTTTGCAAGTTTTTAAATTTACTCTCTGCAAAATAACCAGGAAAGTTTTTAGTGACTCATGAATAAATTACACATTATAGTTGAAAAGAAATTGATAAAATATATTTTGATCACAAATCTTCTACATCTTTACCTGAGAACATGTACATTTCTAACTCACAAACAATTTGTTTTCTTTAATGGACTCTTGATAGAATTATGAAAATAAAATTCCCCTAGATAATCATTTAAAATGAAAGATATTCAATTAAGCACTTAAAATAACAGCTGACTGAAATAAATGGACGGTGTGCATAGCAAATAAAATATATTTCATGAGTAAAATTTAACTTAGTGTATATATTGGAATGTGGCAATATAATAACAATACTTCGTATACATGTA